TGTTTGGCGCCGTTTAGCGCCGTCTACTAATGATGCGTTTAAAGGCGGCTCGGAAAAACGTGTTTCCACATGTTAAAAATGAATTAAGTGGTTGTAATGGCTGTAAAAAAGTGCCGGGACGGAGGGCACAGCTACGGGAAGTGCGGGGGACATGTCCCCGTGTACCCCGCGTCCGCTACGCCCATGAGTGTGACTGCCAGCTCCACCCGTCGGATTACTTGCCCTTAGCTCGTGGCTGTCGACAGGGCTGCCCCCTGTCGCCTTTATTTGCTATTACAATTGAACCCCTGTCCATGGCCATTAAAGCTCTTCACTTATCACCGGCATCTGTGGAAACAGAATCGAGCACAGGGTCTGTCTTTATGCTTATGACCTTCTGCTCTACATATCAGATCCTACTCGTTGTATAATTTATATCCTTGAGATTCTACAAACGTTTGGTTCTTTTCCAGGGTACATGCTAAACTTCAATAAGAGTGAATGCTTTCCTGTGAATGACAGATCCCAGGCCAGACATCCCCCTTTGATCAGCCCTTTCCAATTTTTGCTATCTTGGTATCAGAATCGGAGGCCTCGCACTACCAAATTTCTTGACGTATCATTAGGCGGCCAATATCCAAAAACTCCACATGTGGTAGAACTCCTCTCCAACAGGCTGGTGCCAGATGGAGGCTCGCCCATGCAGCTCTGCTCTGTATCCTCCTGATTACACCCCTAACCCAACTCTATCTACAGTAAAAATATGGAGGCAGATTCAACGCCAGTTTAAAATCGCTACTGCTTCCCCACTAATGCCAGTCTGTGACAACCATTGGTTTCCAATGGTCAATGTACAGAATTGTTTCAGTTGTGAAACTTTAAATCTCACGGTGCCCACAGGTGGACCTTCTCTGGCTCACAGTATTGTGGAGCTAAAAACTAGCAGGAGTTTCCAGCGGACCACAGGATGTGACGGACCGTTTATCCTCCTGTCGGCGCTTCATTATCAGCCCGGTCTGTATGGCTAACGAATGGGATGGCTAATGCTAGCAACAAGCCAGAGCTGGAAGACGCTCCGCTGTCATTAAAACCACCCACTTGGGATCACTTCGGTTTACTGGTGAAGTCCAAAAAGGGACAAAAACAAGACGAAAGCCGTTTGTCTACACTGTGCAGCGGTCCTCAGCTGTGCATCCGGCAACACGTCAGACTCACTCATTTAAAAAAGCAGCATCCAGGCGTAACTGGCCGCTGTGCTGGAGCTCTGCCTCCATTCAGTCCTTCAGTCCTCACCGCTGTCTTCTCAGCAGTGCAGGAGGAAGCTGCAGCCAGGCAGCACCACAGGAGTGGACTGAGCAGAGCTGCTGACGGATCAGTTCAGAACCACGTTGTGACGCTAACAATGACTCAGCATGTCTCCTGGTTCACGTTAACGATGACTCAGCATGTCTCCTGGGTCACGTTAACCATGACTCAGCAGGTCTCCTGGTTCACATTAACCATGACTCAGCATGTCTCCTGGTTCACGTTAACAATGACTCAG